ATCCGACTCAAATGTTTGAGTCCGATGCACACTGGAGTGGAGCAGCACTGCAAAGAGAGAGAGAGAGAGAGATCAATGATAATTAAGGGAGGTCAAATACCCTTTTTCTCGTAAGTGGCAGCCGAGGACACGACTGCATCTGTCAGTCTTCTTCAGAGAAGATGAAACTGGTCTGAAACATTTCACTTCCTCTCTTAGCTCAGTAACCGTTCAACAGACAGGCACCACTGCTTAACCGTGACAACAGACACGTTTCACTACTTAAAACAAGACGTTATGAGCTACTTGTTTTAGACTTTAGATGCAGTGAAGTTTGGTTTGCAAAATACAAATTCAGAATTTCGCTGTAATTCTGTGATAAGTCTTTGTATATGTTGTATCCACTTTCAACATTTTTCATTAAAAGAACATTTTTAATCCTTGAGAAAGGGCAAACACAAGCAACACAAAAAAGTTGGCAAAATACTTTTTCAGGTTTTAAAGAATAGTTTAAATGTTGTTTGAATTGTGTATATGAAAAACTGAAACTTGTGGGAAAATAATTGTTAAAGCTACTGAATACTTTTCAGAAAACTTTTAAAATACTTGAAAGACTTCATCAGATCAGCTCATTGAGTGATTGAAATCCATCATTTCCATAAAGAGCCACTTTGCATGAGCAGCAGCATGCTCCAGTGCTCGGGAGAGTTTAAAGTCCTGAGAGTTGAACACTGCAGGACTGACAGCTGTCCTTCATCACAACAGGAACACAGAAATCCTCCTCCTCCTCATCCAAAAACATGACTTTGATCTGCGTCCTCATCTGGACTCTCCTCCTCTGCTGCTGCTTCACAGGTAAAGTCCAGACAATCAAACTCCTCTCCTCTATGAACATCCGTCTCTCTGAAATGAAGCCCACACAACCCTGATGCTGCTTCATGTGTTTGTCTCTGTCTCCTCAGAGTCCAGAGGACAGGTCACAGTGACTCAGCCTGCAGCAGTGAGATCTGCTCTGGGAGCCTCCGTCACCTTATCATGTACAACCAGTGAGGATGTAGATACTACGGCGCGCAACCCTTTTAGCCTGGTACCAACAGAAAGATGGAGGAACTCCTAAACTGCTGATTTACTATGGTAGCACTCGAGTATCGGGACTTCAAGTCGTTTTACAGGCAGTGGATCAAACTCTGACTTCACTCTGACCATCAGTGGAGTCCAGACTGAAGACGCAGCAGTTTACTACTGTCAGAGTACATATATCAACAGTGAGTGTGTTCACACAGTGAAAAAGCGTCGTACAAAAACCTCCCTCAGTCAGCCTGAACAGAAACCAGACTGACTGCTGCAGCAGGAAGCTTCTGCAGAGACTGACACACTTCACTGAGGACACACACTCAAACACTACACTGACTGGTTTCCATCACCTCTTCCCTGTAATACAAAAACTACACAATCAGTTATTCAATATATATTTCCACTATACAGTACTTAGCATTTCAAAATGAACCCTTGGCATATGTCAGATATTTATGAAAAGATTTTTAGTGTTGTCCTCGTTCTCTTCTCAAAGGTGACTTCAAGAGAGTGTGGGGTAAAGCCGATCACAGAGCCAGCCTCTTTGATCAGCTTATTGATCTATTTGTATCATCCAAACAGAAGCTGCCCCCCCCCAGCACAGAACAGCATAAAAGAGGACACTAGCCAAGATACAAAACGTACAGAAGGTTCTTGCTAAAGTCAGAGGATCTAAGCTTCCTTAAGAGTCTTGACTGAGCCTTCTTTAAAGACACATCAGTGTCCATTTTCCAATTTAATTACTGTCCATGAAGACATCGACATATTTATGAAACTGGACAGTTTGGATCTGCTATGAGGGGAAACATCGTCTTTCTTTCTTCTAAAATCAATAATACTTTCCAACATTCAATATGCATCACACCAGCTGACTAAAGATTCAATCTCTGTTTTTGTTGGTCAGATTGTTGCCTTGGGTAAGTAGGTGCACGAGTGCAGTAACATCTGAAAACTTGTGGACATGATGTCTGTGCACACTAACACAATCAGGACCTGGAGAGATGTCAGTGGGGCTGCTACACACTGCGACACAGGGAGCACAACAGAGCTGTTGGGGGTTCAGTGTCTTGCTCTAGGACACCTCTATAGCACTCGGAGAGTGACCTGGGACCTGGCAGCTTCCATACTTTGATGTGTACAGGGACTTAAACCAGCGACCCTCAGGTTCCCAAACAAGGTCCCTACAGACTGAGCTACTGTCGCCACAAATATATAAAATACAGCGCCTGCTCTATCAACTGAGCTAAACTGGTGCCCTGCAGAGGAAAGGTTAGTCTGGTTCCAAACTTGTTTCCATAAGAGTCCTACTAATTATATCCAAGAAAAGCAGAGCACCCAAAGCACCACAGGTAAAAGAAGGAGTTTACTACTGTCAATAATTAAAAACATTTGAATTGTTTTAATTGATAAATATCTCTTTTTATGAGTTAAGTATTAAATCGTTTTCTTTTGACATCCCAACAGAATATGCAGAACAGTCTTAACCCTAACCCTACCAAAAAGCCTTTGAATAAACTTTCCACAATGTGTGTTCTCATGATTTTATTTATATTTAAATCTAATTTTGACAACCACAGAGCAGGCATTGAACAAAATGCCAGAAGCAATGTTTTATCACTTTATGCTGATGATATCATCCGTTTTATTTGTAACACATTTCTTACCCACCTTCATTATTTTCAGAGATTTAACAATCAACACATCAGTCATCAGATTGAGACATTTCACCATCTTCAACAGCAGATTTTGATGATATAAGATTATTTGGAAGTTTTCCATTGCTATTTTTTTTTTATTCTTTAGATGAACTTACCAAAGTCCGTTCAAAAATTGTTAACCTGTTAAGAAATGAAAGATATGCACAACAACACTGTTTGATTCCATTTTTATTCTTTTGCTCATTTAAGAAAAACTGTCAATAAAAAGGCAAGAAAAATTAACGTTGAAACATAAAATCATAGAGAGGGAAAGAAGGCATTTAGCGTGTAAACTGAGGGCAGTTTCAGAAGTGAAACAAGCAGGGGAAACCAGCAGCAGAGTCCAGGTGATACAGCTCAGTCCTGGGAACACTGGTCCCTCCTCAGTGTCTCTGAGACCAGCGTCTGGGAGCCCTGGGTGGCCTCACAGGTCACAGAGCCCACCTTCGTCCACTGGCCTGCAGAGAGCCTCAGGGTGCTGCTCCAGCTGTAACGAGCGTCCTGCTCCATCACCGCAGGGCCCCTGCTCTCCTCCCAGCTGCCGCCGCTGATGCCGTCCACCTTCCAGGCCAGACTCCAGTCTGAGGGGAAGCCCTTGTTGGCCAGGCACACGAGCGTGGCCTTCCCCTGCTGCAGCTCCTCATTGGAAGGGGGCAGAACCATCAAGGTGGGACGGGCTTCACCTAGGAGACACCAATCAGAACAGAGGACAGGAACCACACAGCTGTCAGTCAAACACATCACTCCTGGACACCTTTGCAGTTGAAAGCAGAGTTTCTCCTTTAAGGAGTTTCTGTCAGATGTTTTTTCTGCTTCAGCAGTCACTCACACATTGTTTCACTTCCCTCTCAGAAATCTGTCATGCAAATCAACACAGAGACGATCATCGTACAGAGAGACCAGAATACACTGGACTTAAAATATATACGCTGAAAAATCATCAAATCACTCAAACCTTTGAAATACCTATTTTCTAACTGTTGAGTGGAAACATGAACCAAATCTATCAATAAAACATGTTTTAAATCATAAAAGGCTAAAAAATCTTAAGTGACATAATCTGCAGAAAGAGATCAGAGATTTTGAACATTTTCTTTCAAAATTCTTACAACTTCCCTTTGAGCAATTTATTCAAAATGACAAAATGAAATAAGGCCTTTAAGAGTTATCGTTGATGTGGAATAGATATCTGAAACCAGAGAATTATTTTTTATGAATCTGAAGCTGCTGAACTGAATGTAAATGATCTGTCCTGAGATGGTACAGGAGGTCAAACACAAACAGGAAAAAAATATAATGTAAAAATGTATAAATGTTTCTTCATATTGTAAATGAAAAAAAAAAAATCACGATTACATTACACTGTTTAGAAATCACAGAAACTTACCTCCGACATCCAGTCTGGTTCCTCCACCAAAAGTCCACCACAGTGATACAAAGTCACTGATCGCCGTACAAAAACCTCTCACTGCACAGAGACACGGCTCTCTGACTTCAACACATCGTACTCAAACTACCAGCCCTCAAGATGCAACTTCACCTTTACAATGATAACACTCATTTACTCTGGAAGAAATGATGACTTGGCTTCAGATTTGACATTTATTTTGATACGATTTTGTGTTTCATTAAAAATTTGTTTTTAGTCTAAATACAGAGAAAAACATGCACACAAATGTTTGGGTCAGTCATTTTCAGTCTTCATTTCAAAAAAAAAATCTCTTTACATACAAAGGGTTAATATTTGACTTACTTCCAACATCCAGTCTGGTTCCTCCACCAAATGTGTACCACAGTGATGCAAACTCACTGAGTCGCCGTACAAAAACCTCTCACTAAAGAAAGTAAAAAAAAATGCTCTTGTCTGCAAAACCTTCAAATGAACTGAAAAGTATAAAGAATACATTTCCATTAATATTCAAAATTAAGACATTTTATTCCGGGGATTTCTCCAGAAGCATGAACACGGTTTTAAAAACATGTCTTATTGAAAGTTAAAATAATTAACTTTATAATTAGTATAATCCAAGTCCCCAGTTAGTCAGAGCATTTCCATAAAGAGCCACTTTGCATGAGCAGCAGCATGCTCCAGTGCTCGGGGAGAGTTTAAAGTCCTGAGAGTTGAACACTGCAGGACTGACAGCTGTCCTTCATCACAACAGGAGACACAGAAATCCTCCTCCTCCTCCTCGTCCAAAAACATGACTTTGATCTGCGTCCTCATCTGGACTCTCCTCCTCTGCTGCTGCTTCACAGGTAAAGTCCAGACAATCAAACTCCTCTCCTCTATGAACATCCGTCTCTCTGAAATGAAGCCCACACAACCCTGATGCTGCTTCATGTGTTTGTCTCTGTCTCCTCAGAGTCCAGAGGACAGGTCACAGTGACTCAGCCTGCAGCAGTGAGATCTGCTCTGGGAGCCTCCGTCACCTTATCATGTAGGACCAGTGAGGATGTAGATACTACTGATGACGACGAACCTGGCTTAGCCTGGTACCAACAGAAAGATGGAGGAACTCCTAAACTGCTGATTTACTGGTAGCACTCGAGAATCAGGGACTTCAGATCGTTTTACAGGCAGTGGATCAAACTCTGACTTCACTCTGACCATCAGTGGAGTCCAGACTGAAGACGCAGCAGTTTACTACTGTCAGAGTACATATCATCAACAGTGAGTTTGTGTTCACACAGTGAAAAAGCGTCGTACAAAAACCTCCCTCAGTCAGCCTGAACAGAAACCAGACTGACTGCTGCAGCAGGAAGCTTCTGCAGAGACTGACACACTTCACTGAGGACACACACTCACGAATGTGCGCTCAGTTTAGTTTACTGTCCTGCAGACTCTTTTACCTAAAACAACTTTTCAACTTACACAATAACAGCCAATGTTTAGGGACGGATAAAAGCAACACATAGCAGTACTTGAATAAGAGAGGAAGCAAACACTATACACTTTATGTGTTTTTATTTGCCTCTATAAGGTGTTCACAAATGTCCAACTGAACCTGGGCCTTAAAGCCCCGTTTCCACCAAGCGGTCTGGTTTGGTTCAGTACAGTCTGACACGGTAAACCCTGATCTTGCTTGCGTTTCAACAGCCAACCGTACATCATAAAACAACAGCGGCACGACAGACAGCCAAGACATTCAATAAAGAAGAAGAAGAATGTGACACAGTAAATAAAAATGAATGATTGCATCTCCCAGGTCGTCCATGGGGCGGAGCTACGCGCTGACATATAGTCGCATAAAAACAAAAAACAGCCTTTTAATGACTCTCTCCAAAACGTGGTGCGTTTTGTGTTTGTCCTTTATTACCGCTGTCAAGTGAAGATTCTTCTTTCAACCAATCAACAGACTGCAGTGTTTCTAGCTCCAACCTTTAGAGTCGGTTCAGTACGCTTGGCACCCCAACAGAAGAGTACCAAAAAAGTATTCATGACAGTAGAAACACCAATACATGTGTACCATACCGAACTGAACCGGACAGGTTCTTAAGTTTCTAACTACACTCTTCTCCTCTGTCGCCCCCCGGTGGTGGAAAATAATTCCAAACTTCATTGGATCCGCAGAGTCCCTTTGCACCTTTAAGAAAAAGCTAAAGACCCAGCTCTTTATGAACACCAATGACCTTCATGATGATGATGAAGATGAAGATGGTGCTGTTTAGTAATGATGATCACGATATTTAGGATGGTTTTGATGCTGATTAGAACTCTAAAGAACAGCTGTTGAAGTTGTGCTTTCCTGTCAGCATCTGTGTGTCAGATCAGACTGAAAGCTGTTCATTTGCACTTACTGACTTTGTTTCCTCCTCTCTAGATCCTCGCTTGTGTTGCACTTTGGATAATAGCGTCTGCTAAGTGAATTGTAGAGTTGAAGTGACTCTGAAAGATTAAAAGTCCCAAACCTCAAAGGCACAGTTTCTTTTCCTTTCAAGTGATCACAGGTATCTGGATCCTGCTTCTCCATTCAATGCAAAGTGTGTGAAAACAAAACCTTGACTGGCTCCTTTCTGGATCCATAAAAGAAACAAACAGTCAAAATGGAGTCAAAATATTCAACCTGAAAAAAGATAAAACAAGTCAATATGTAGAAAACTTATATGCTCTTTAAATAGATAAGAAAATGCACAAGCATCTTCTTAGAAACATATAACCATCAAATCTTCACACCCATTACATCATCATTAATTTCAAGAACTACTCAAGAACTACTCAAGAACTACTGAAATGTAGCTTCATGCCACACCCTGTGACTACGTCAGCTGAATGTCCTCGTCTCTATGAGGTGTAAAGTGATCCTCTTCAGTGAGTCCTTACAGGAGAGTCTCTGTGGAGACTGAATGAGCTGCTTCACTAACAGTCTGGATTTATTAACTGAGTCTGGTGGATGAACTGAGCAGGATATAAGGCCATTTTTAAAAGACGTACTCTGCTGCCCTCTGGTGGCTGAATGAGGGAAATGATACTGACAGAGGTACAACATTGTCTAGTTGAAATAACACACTGATAATTATAATATGAAACTATTCATCAAACGGAAGAAGACAATGCTTTAAAGCAAGATGAATGAAACATACAAGACGACAAGGACACATTTTTTAAGCATGGGAGATAATTATAAGAAGAACTAACTCAAGACATCGTATTTCATTTAGAACCAATATTATAAAATCAATATACTACCTAAAGCTAATACATCCTTAAACAAAATAATACTGTCAATGTTATGGGGAAGATGTGGCTTAGAGGTACAGTGGTTTGGTTGTCAGAAAAGTTGGTGATTCGATCCCCAGCTGAAGCAACCCAAATGGTTCCTGAAGGCATCACCATCAGTGTGTGATCGGATTGATGGACAGTTTGGCTCGTCATGACCATAGACTGTAAATATTACTGGATGAACCCTGACCCGTCTGTTACATAGACAGAAAATGAGTCCAATCGACGGCCGCATCCATATTGGATTTGCAGTCTCAACCTAACTTCGGATCAACCTAAAAACAGCAGTAAGGCGGGACTTAACGCCGCCCATTCAGCTCGACGTTAGCAGTCCACTTCACAGCATAGCTAACAGCTAGGCTGCTATCATCAACTATTCCTGCTCGTCCTGAGAAAACTCTAAACAGTAAGTTAACATTTAACTTTTCTACACAGTTAAAACTAATTATATTCAACCAAATATTTAATTAAAGTCTTAAAACTACACTTTTTTAAATATACAATCATGGTTATTAGTTATTTGTCAGAGCAGTTAGACTTTGTCAGTGTTAGCAGAGAAATACATTAACAAAGTTTTATCCATAACTGTGAGACATGAAATAATATATCAGGTTACTGTTCTGACAAAAAGAGGAATGTCTGTGTCTTATATTTACTGATGTCAACAGCGATGAGGTGAACATGACAATTGAAAAATAATATTTAGTATTTATTATAAGACATTTGTTTTCTATTGAACCTGTGAAGTCATGGAGTCTGTGGACAGTGTCAGCGTCACACCAAAAACTTTAAGTATTAGAAAATATATTGTTTAAGACTGGCATCTATTATGATGAGTTGCAGCTACCTTGTTCAATATTATTCCTGCAGATGTGGCTCATAACAAAAAAACACCCTGAGCTGTCACATGTGGTTAACTGTACATTTTGTCTGAGGCATTAATTGAACACCTTTGTATTTCTCCTATAGACACAGTGTGGATTATTGGTGACTGGTCCATCGAGGTGCCCAGAGAGCTGCAGAGACAGAGGAAGAAACCTGAGCCTCAACAACATCTGTATTTGTTGGTTCTTCTGGGGTGGACTTCAGTTGCTTCTCTTCAACAGCTCGCTGTGAGGGAGGTCTCCCCCGGATGGCCTGAGTGATGTCACCCACAGGCTGAGAGCTGAGGCGGGTTTTAAACCTCCTGACAAACCGTTACACCGCGCCCACCTGTCAAGCTGGTCAGCTACACGCCTTATTGTGAATAACTCTTATCCTTCATCAAATCAAAACTGATGAGTCATCAAAACATTCACCCCCCGTACAGTGTGTGTCCATCGAGACATGAGCTAATCACACCTATTTGTTTGTTTTGTACCAAGCTGTAAACATGTTCATCTCTGCTGTAAAAACAGACTTTTTTTAATGTTGTTTTTCAGATTAAATAAATATTTCTATATAAATGCACTCCTTTATGTCTACTTATGAGTATACATTTCAGATTTGAAATGACAAGACTAAAATGTGCATTAATGCTCAACTCAATAGCTTAGGGAAGGAAGTCTACTTTTACACAACTTTTATTCTTTTGATAAATACTAATGTAGTTCATTTCTAAAATGGGATGGAACAGAGTCATTGCAAAATATGACCTTAAACACAGCCCCATTCTTAAATCAAGATACATGGAGAGTAAATAAGATCAATAACTTGTGAATAAAAACACAGTTAAAAATGATTTAGAAATGTAGTCTTCCCAGATCAATATCACATAATATCAACTTCTCCCATCTAAACTGGACAAAGGGTTTTAAAATGGGAAGAAAATGGTTTGATTGCAAGTTGTTTGGAGGAGATCTAGTTTTATTTGAACAGCATGAATACAGTCTTCCAAGGTGCAAACCCTCCTCCTCCTCCTGAAGCCTGTGGAGCTCCTTCATGTACTGCTGTCTTATCTGCTGGCCATCTTCTCTCCAGAACTTGACTGTTGAAAGTCATTCAGAAGAAGCTCGAGCATGTGACATGGATCCAGGAGAACATGGACTTTTAGTGAGGGTCTTCAGGATGGCAAAGAAAGAGAGAAAATATCAGTTATTCATTAAATCATTTTTTTGTTCTCATCTATTTTTCTGTATTCATCTGTGTGTAAGAGCACATTTATAAATTCAACAGTGTACTACCCAGACAACAAAGGTACAGTATTCAGGTAATCAACATCTATTCAAAGTTAAGAAGATAAACATTATTGTAATCGTGCTGTTTTCAGCTCTCTCACTCAC